AAGAAAACTCCCTTCTGTACAGGCAGTAGGATTTGGTAAAAGTTCTAAGACAGCTGGTTAAAGTAGCCTGCAAGCCAGACTTGTATCTGGTTGACAGCTATCATTCATATTCCATCTAGCATTTCTATGTGGGGGAGAGAGCAGGAAGAAAGGGAAAGGTGGGGCAATAAGCAGGGCAGAGCAGTTTTTGACAGCTCCACCATTTCTAAGTAGGGAGAAGAAGCTTTTGCTCCCGTTCTACATAAGGTCGTTGTTAAACATGAGCGCACGGTGCTACAGCTGCCAGCATTAACCAGAACAGTGCTGGAACATTAGTCTTTTAAAGCAAGATATCAAGGTCAAAACAGGAAAGGTAACTAATTAGAACCAAAGATGCAGTTCACATAGCATTAAAGTAATTGTCTGTTTGTGCAGCACAACACCCATATCTTCAATTTAGGTCAGGCCATGAAGAGGAGGAAGAGGACTGAAGACTGAAGATGAGATGCTCTACTTCACACAGTTGCCCTCTGGAAGGACTTGCAAAGGCAGTCACTTAAATTAAGTACAGGTCATCAGACAAGATATCTAATCTATTCCTGAGACTGGCAGCTCTAGCAGTCCAAATCCCCATGGCCTTTGCAGCCACACGATGAACTACTTCCTCATGTACCTCTGTCAATTCACGTTAGGTTCCAATTGTTTTAAAGCGATATTTCATGTACACCATGACCCTATTGCTCGTAGCAAGGAAAGTGCTTTGGTTTATTTATGACCTACTAACCTTAAATAATAAAAAAAACCCCAACATACATCCAATCTGATTGTTCACATAAGCTTGCAGATCTGAAATAAAATTTAACATAAAGCTGGCATTTGTAACAGCTAGCTAAGCCTGGTAAGGGATTAAACAAAAAAAAAAAAAAAAAAAAAAAAAAAAAAAAAAGAAAACCAGATGAGAGATGATGACAGCATATTTACCCTGCATAACCTACACACGTCAGGAATTAGGGCTGGAACTCAGGAATACTTTTTGTACTTAGTTTCAGTCCATTTCAGAGGCTAGATAACCAAGGAAATCCTGAGGTTTTTCCATTATAGGGGGTGTGAGGCATTAATAATAACCTGTGAAAGTAATTCCTTCTAAGATGCAATCCACCCAGCCACAAGCTCTACATAGCTCCTCTTCCTCTCCTGCCCTCCATCCTGATTGCCAGATACTATCCAGGCAACACCCCACATTGAAATATGAAGTGACAGATGGAAGCAGGGAATAAGAGCATAGGAATAAGTACTGAAAGAAATGATGTACAAAAAGCAAGCTCATAATATGGTGGATCTGAAACATGAGCAGCCCTAAACCATAAAGTCAGTTCATTTGGCTAGAACAATGTTGAACAGATGCAGATGCACAAAAGACTGAGTTGGAGAGCCTTATCCTCTCATCACTCATGTTGGTGTACAGAAGTCTTCTCGTAATATCCATGGAATTAAACCTTTGGAAAACCACTACAAAGAAATGGAAAAATAAACTTCAAAGCTAAACTACTGGCAGCAAATATTCCATACAGTTGTATCAGGAAAGAAAGAGGCACTGCCACATTTGATTAGAATTCAGATATATTCCTAATCACAGTGGCCTTCCTAAATAAAATACATCTAATCTACCATAAAGAAGAAAATTAGTGGATTCCACTCTTGTCTAGTTCTCCAATAGACTATATTAATGACTTTGTCCTTCAGTAATATTAGAAAAAAATACAGTTTTGTTCAATGATGTAATGAACTCCTCTACCTGCAGAGCAATTAGTTGAAAGAAACAGGACAAAGTCCTTGTCATGATGTTTGTTTACACACAGGCATTGTGCCTATCAGCTCCAGTCTTTTGGTGCAGGTTCCCTTTACAAACGTAGAAACAAATCCCATAACATTCACAGACACTTATAAATAATCAGAGATTGACGAGAGAATATAGAGCATCTTTTACCAAAAGATAAGGTAAACAAACAGCAATTCAGAGAAGTTAATGAATCAGTCACAGTTCCAGCACAGCAAGAGCAGACCTAGCAAAAAAGAATTCTGACCAGCTGAGCATCAAGAACACCTTCTGCAGAAGAACTCTGCTCCCAAATGCAAATAAGGTAAAATTCCTACATTACCTTGTTTTAGCTTCCGATCCAGCCTCTAAAACCCTTTAACAACACAAAAATTACCACCTCTCTTTTCTAAATTATTATTTATTTTTATTAATAACTAAGACAATTGATTAGGGAAAATATAATCTTACGGTAGGAATTTTTAAGAATAAGGACTTTACTGTGTGATGAGCAGTACTGGATATGCACAGCATGCCACCACCTAAAAAAATACACAGAAATAAATTTAGGCTAAGCCTAAATTCACTATTTATTTCTCCTGAAAACTATCATAACAGGTTCTGCGTGTGTGACAATTTGTAAGGAAGAAAGGCCTTCTGTTTCTGTAAGATGTTTCTTGAGAAATTAAGCCTCCTTTAAAGAAAATACATTTTTCTTCAATCCTAAGCAAGTTGAAATCCAATTGAACCATGTCAGCAAAAGAAATTTTGCTCAGTTGGGCAATCTCTAATTGGCAACACTGATTTATAACACTCTTAGCCAGTTCTGTTCATATATGAGATCTTGTGTTTCATTTTGCTATGAAGTTCAGTCTCAGGGAATAACAGACAAAAGTAATCCACTTGTGCCTGCATCGCCAACCTTTATTATTAAAGCCTGAATAAGTAAAATTTCTTTTCTTTCCATAGAAAGAAGTTTGGGAAACTGCCAGCTCCTTGCACAAAGACTGAAATATGATGAGCAGAGAAGGGTGTTGGTGTTGGTAAGAGAAAAATGATTGAAGTTGCATCACCTGTACGATTAAAATCACTGTGTGAATTTTGATTTTCACCCCCTCCTTTCAGACCTTTGAGGCTGCGGTCAAGTCAATGGAGTTCTGTTGTAGTGGTTGCTTCAGTGAACATTCAACGCTGTCGGTGAGTTTGGAATTAAAGTGAAAACCATCGACCGTTGATTGTACCCTCCAGCTAACCATCCTCCTCCTTACTTCATGCTTTCAGGCCTTAACACCGAAGATAGCAACCTAACCATCATATGATGTTTCTCCCCCACCCTGCCAAGCTTTACAAAAAAAAAAAAAGGTCACAATCAACATTCATTGCTGTCGGTGGGTTTAACTTTGTGGACAAGCTCACTGAACAATGAATGCAACTGTGGCCCCACATTTTACAGTTGCCGTTGAGAGGAACAGCAGCTCTGAAAGCAGTAGTGAGAGACAAACTTCTTATAAGCTACATTTTACTGGTCAGAAAAATAGTTGGGAGTATTCACTTTTTGCTTGCTTGTTTTTAAGTGTGTTTGACTTAGCTGACTGGAAAAAAAAAACAAAACACCACCTGCCTTTTTCTGGAATATTGTCCTTACAGGGTTCAGTCTCACTGAAACCATAAAAACTCTTATTTATTATGTGTGTAGAAATAAATAACTGTACAGGAGACTCTGTATATCCTCTTCTAAGGACCCTGACATAGAAGAAAAGAATATTTAAATGTCATTTTAACTAGACATTGTGGAATAGTTAAGAAAAATTTTCTATGCTTGTCATGACAAATACAAATGGGAGTAAATGAGATTTCAAAGTTGTGGATCAAATGTTATATCAAATAATTATTTTGATACGAAATTGTTTCTGAGCACATAAATAGTAGACAAACCATACTATTGCATTTGGCTTTTTTAGATACCTGAAAGATGACAGAGAAGTGTATATCCAGAAATAATAATGGAAAAGTAGTTAAATTGTAAAATTACTGTAAACTGAGTACCTATGTCACACTCTCAGTATTGCAGACACTAATACGAAAATAAAAGCATAAATAAGCTCACATTTTTGTCCTTATTTCCTTACAACCCTTTATTAGCCTGGTCAGACATAGAGAGACCAGCCTACATTTCTCACATCACACAATCATCCAAGGTAAGTTCAGTCTTTAGACTTGGTGCAACTCAAATATTCTGCAGTAGGAACTGCTTACAAAGGTTGGGTAATGTCATAGCAATCATGTTGTTGTTCCTCATTATGGGGGGTTCATAAATAAAACTTTAGTTTGGTTATTTACAAAGTTTCCTCAGCACATAAGTTACACAGCAAGTTATTATCTTGTGTATTGTGCTTGCCTTTTTTTACTTTTCACCATATAGCAACTGAAAAGGATATAAATATCAAGGCTGCCATGGGACAAAACACCTGTACTTGAACTTTGTGCTCTCAGTCTAATTAAATGGTAAAGATATATTTCAATCCTGAAAGAGATCAGTCCTTTGCTATATGCAAAACTAATATTTATAGAAAAAAAAATCAGGCCCCCTTAAAGGTGTAATCATACCAGCAAAATAAATCGTGAAACTATTTGGACATTATTTAAAAATTATATTTTGGAAGACTATCTTTTCTTATTCCAATATTTACTAGAGATGAACCCACAGGGTCTGTTGCTCACTGAATACTATCATGGTCGGAGACAGAAAGGTATTAAAAGGCAGGGTTGCTATGCATGAATGATTTCTCAGCAATGCTGTTCAGAGATAAGCCTGTATCTTTAGGTTTACCCATTTCTACAAAAATGGGAATTTGAATTACTATGGACTTACATATTGCAGATAGATAAAGATCATATTAAAAGCAAGGCTCAGAGGTATACCTTCTATCTGGAAGGAGAAATTTTCAAATTAAGCTGTAGCAACTATGATTCATACTGTACCAAAACCCAAGTTCCTTACTGAAACCTAAAACCTAGGTCTTGGTTTTGCAATACATTTATTAATGGTAGTTATAGCTATGTTATGTGTTTTTTAGAGAGAAAATACTTATCAAAACAGATGTTTCTGGAATTTCGTGACATTGGAAAGAACCAGTGTCCTGGAACGTGAGTGGTTTCTGTACATGTTTTCTGTACTGATAATGTCTGGATGATTAGCATTAAGGAGAAAAAGACTCCAATGTAAAAAAAATAAAAAAATAAAAAAATAAATAAAAAAAAAAGATAAACTTATATCCTTTTCTAAGGCAGTACTTTTTCTCAAAATACATGTTTCCCCTGATTTGTAACAATTTTTTTCCATAGACTTACTAATTGAAGATAAATGATTCACACCCTACTAGAACAGGGTGCAGAAACCTCAGCCAGCATTGACCTAGGCACAAATAATCAGTCCATACCCATTAAAAATATAAAAAAATATTTCCACCTGGACCACAAGTTTTTACTGGTTTCTGAAGAGGAGATTCTGCAACAGTGGTCTTTTTTAATGGTGCCTAGCATTAAATTTATCAGAGTTTTTAGTTGCATCATGTTTTCATATAGAAATAGAAAAATGTCTTCCTAATGTATGGATATATAGTATTTCACACAACTTAAAGTCAACCTCTACACACTAGTTATTTAATAATGTTTATTGGAAAGCAATACCCTTATTCCACACCCCACAAGAGATGTTGGCTTGCACTCATCTTTCCTTATGCTGTAAAGCCACAGAACAATCACAACTTTTTAACAACTGCTGTGAAATACTGTGGGAAGGTTTCGTGGTAATTTTCCTGGTTTTTGTTAATATGACACATATGTACTCAGCACAATGCCCACAGGCCATGGAAACATTCTAGAAAATTGCTCCTCGGTGTCACTGTAAATAATTCACTCCCAGCAATATTTTTAGGTCAAGCACATCAAAGTTGCAGCAAATGCGATGGACCTTGACATAATAGGAGCACTGGTTTTCCAGCAGTGCAGGGAGAGAAGAAGGAATATACTTCCCATACACAAGAGATCACTTGCTGTTCCCAAGTGTACACGTTACTGTGCTTGAAGACAGCAGAGGTGGTACTAAGGGTTTGTTATAAGGTTTGGAGATGTTGTTTTTTTTAATCATCTCCAAGTACTTTCTTTTCCCTTGCTTCTGGCATCAGATGGATTAAAACATCTAATTCATCAACTTCTACATTAAGGCTATAACTTCTGTTTAGCAAGTACAGGCAGACACCTGGTTATATCTGTAAAACTACAAGTCAAAGAATTCCTGTGATAGAAATAATCTGTGATATTCAGAACCATGGCAGGATGAATATGATAGACTTGCTTTTTGGCACAGCTGACACCACCACACTAACATCTCTTACTTTACAGATGGTAAAGTGGCACTGCAAATGAAAGAGTTAAATATAGAAGTAGTTTATAATTGAAATGGAAGCAGTATCTAGACAACTGGACTCCAATGATGTTTTTTTGGGAAAAAGAGAACGATCTGCAATCCTGACTTTTATCTCATGTAAATACCGTGTTTTTCTTGCTGACCACTTTTTTTTTTTTTCTTCTTAATGTATACCTTTGTTACTTGCCAGAGTTACAATGGAAACCAATGATTTTTTCTTAAGCACTTGCCTGGTGACACCCACTACAAAATAACTTTTTCATCTTGGCCTTTCTTTTATTTAGGTTTGTATAATTTTATTTTAACTTTACATTTTTTCCTTCCTGTGCATCCTCCTTAAGTGTGAGTGCCAGCAATGCAGACCACATTCCAAAGAGCCCAGCCAAGGCTAGCTGAAATAATCTGATGCCTCTTTATTTTACAAGCAATCACTGCTCCTTTTCAGCCAAAAATAGCATTTGTAATGGCACCACAAAGTTAACACATTTAAATTTATCTAACATTATTCCATAAATACAGTGTCCACAAGTTCGTTCCTAGTTTAAAACAGATTATGTCATCCCCTTGAAATGCAACACTGGCAATTTCTTGAACTTAGAGATTTATATTTTTTTTCAAAATATAGCTCATCCCTCCTCCAGAAACATCATTAACGTTTTGAAACTTAGTGGTAAAAATTACACAGTAGCATGTATTAGTACTTTGAATACAAATACTTTGAATACAAGCAGAAGACTATCATGATTTAACAAAAAAACCCCGATACTAAAACTTGCCTTTTTACTTAATTTCACCTCACATTATTTTTGTTTTAAGAGTACAAGCTGCAAAAGAGGCAATAGAAGCTTAATGATTTACTGCCCTTCCTGCTGCCTGCACCCAAAATATTTCTACAAGCTCAGGATTTTGCATTGCCATGTTAGAGCCTTCACTTCATAACAACCAGTAATCACAAACTGAACACAAATACCTCTGACAAACGTAAGGGAAAGTTTGTGTTGGAGTTCAGGAATTATTGATCTGAGGATGAAACAGGGCAAGTGTTCAAGTTACACAGCTTCCAAATAGGGTTCTTAGAAAAACTGATGGAAATGCCCATTTCCTACTTTTTCCCTTTTTGAGACTGCCTTCACATTGCCATTAGAAACAAAAATACTGTCTCCTCCTATGTTTGGATATGAACTGATACTAAAAATTTCAGGAAAACTTCAGGTGCAGAAACTCTAATCCACATAAGCCACAAATTAGAACAGAAACTTTACGCCCATGATATGTATTTTGATTTTTCCTAATTTTACTTCATAAGGTACAGCTGCTAGCCTTAAAAGTTGTGATGAGACCTGATGATATATATGGTTATGTTTTGTTTGGTGTTTGTGTTTTGTTTTTTTTTTTTTTTTCTAATAATCATTATTTTTGCCATTAGAAATGTCATGCTAGGTCTTTAGGATGAAAAACAAGTTTAAAATGGACCAGATACCACAAATCTATGATAACAGCGTTCAGAAGGTTCAGATACCAGGGTAGGTAAAGAAGAGAAATAGCTGGAAACTAACATGCACCTGGTCATCAAGATAGTGGAAGTTTCACCTTGCACTCAAGATAAACTACCAATATACATAAACTATGTATCTAAACTACAGTATCATCTATAGGTACGTGCAAGTTATCCCAATAATCATGCTATTAACTAAATGATTGCATAGATCTATTATTTAGAAATTAAACAGTAATTAAAGTGCTTTATCACAAGCATTTTGAAACTCTGAAACAAAAAGAAATATAAAAATATTAGTTTTAGCTAGCGAGAGTTGAGTCCAGGTGGTTGCCCTCAAAAAGTCAACATCACCATCTGATGTGTAAAACATTGCTAATTCTCATAAAGTACATCCTGAGCTGATTACTGTGTTTGCCTCAAAATAATGAGCCATGATAAGCCCTGAGTTCATGACAATGGATTTACATTTAAATGCCACCCAGTTCACTCAGCATCAATATGCTGCTGGTTCCCAGACTGACAGACATGATGAAGTGAGCATGTGCTCTCCTACAGACAGGGACAGGGAACACACTTTAGGGAGGCCATAAACTACTAGAGGGATAACAAAACTAGAAGAACTTAGAGAGACATTCTTGATGTAATTGTAGAAGACACCAGAAAAGAA